GGCATAGTAATTAAAACTTAAAATGTCAACTTTGACCCTCACAAGGCATCTGAGGACCAATGGCACTCTCAGTGTCCTCCTCTGGTCTCCATATATTCTTTGTGTAAGAATGCATACCAAAAGCAAAAAACAAAAAGCAAACCAAAGCAAAGAAAACCTTCTGTGTCTCCTGAGTCCCAGTCCTGGTGGGTGCCCTCCCAGGAAGTACAGCACAGACCTTTGTCCTTTGTGGGATAGTGGAAAGCCCACGGGGAGTACAGCACCCATCCTCATAGTTTCTTCCTAGAGTCTAGCACACCCCTAATGGGTCCCCCTGAAGCATGGTGTTCTCCCCTGACAATTCCTACTGGAGCACAGTGTCCTCCACTGAAGGTTCCCTCTGCCACCCATGACTCCTACAAAAATGGCATGACCACTAAACGTGGTAGTGGTATTGTAGTGTTAAGCTGGGGGTGTTCTCCTTCCTGGATGTGGCTTTTTACCCTCCACGATAATTGCTGCTGTGGATTGACTTGGCACTCTAGGACCACTGGTACCTTTTCCCCTCCGGAAGCCAGAAACCACCTCACCACCCTACCTCCAAAGTTGTGAAAAACCAAGAAAAGCCCCTAGATATGGACGCATGTCCCCACAGGAGTAAGTCACCCAGACTAGAGCCGTGCAAGTCACTGTCAGGATATGTATGTTGACTGACAGGGCAATGTCTTTGTAACCATGAACCTCCCACGTCCCATGAGCCCCGCCCATGCCGTGTGGCTGACATTCATTGGGCAAAGGGTTTGGAGCCACGAGACCACTCCTCCTCTCACCAGGGAGATCAACAACCCTGCAATCACAGGGTTGGCTCAGGAAGGCTCTGGTGCTACAAGGTCACCTAACCAGTAACTCCCTGCCTGAAGGTCCATTCCCAGCTGCAGGCACTGTGCCTCATGGGTGGCTCAGAACTCATCAGGTTTGTAGAGGACAATGCTTTTAGGTAAAGAAATGGACACAGTGTATGTTCACATCAGTTGGAAGGAAGGCTTTGGGAAGAGATGCTTCCCTATATGACTTTTTTTTTTTTTTTTTGAAAGGAGCTTTAATTTTGCAATTGTCAGTCAGGCGATGGTGGCATACAACTTTAATCCCTTGGGAGGCAGAGGCAGATAGATCTCTGAGAGTTTGGGGCCAGCCTGGTCTACAAAGTTGAGTTCCAGGACAGCCGGTTTTACACAGAGAAATCCTATCTTTTTAAAAAAAAAAAATTGCAATAGTCAAAGGAAAAAAAAAATAGGAACAGTCAGTGAGGCTTTCCCCAGAGGTCTGTTGGGGAAAGAGGGGTACCCCGTGGTGAGGTTCTATTGTAGTAAGCAGAATGGACTCAAGCTGAATATGAGGGCAGTGGGACTAGGTGGGAGTCTGCAGTGGGAAATTACAGAGAGAAATGAAGATCCAGGCGAGGGCTTTGATCTTGCTACATGGACTCAAGAGGCTTCTCCCTGAGGGCAGGCCAAGTGATGATAAAGCTGCCTTTTGCAGGAATTTCATCTGAAAGCAAGGGTGGATTGTTTTACCAGCTTGGTGGAATTCTTGGTAAAATTGGCCCAAGGTCAGGACCTTGAACACAAAGCAGGATCCTGCTGAGAACTGGGTTGGAATGTGTCCCTAGGAATGACCAAGTGCAAAGAGGAGCTCGTGACTGAGCCTTTGACACATCGTAAACCTGGGTTCCAACAGTGTAATGCTCCATCTGATACTGGATGTCAGGAGGCTTGTCCCAGCGATTATACAGATAACAGGGGCTCAGTGGTTAAGAACACTAGCTGCTCTTCCAGAGGACCTGGGTCCCATTCCCAACACCCACATGGTAGCTAAGACAGTCTGTAACTCCAGTTCCAAGAGAGCTGACCCTTTCTTCTGGCCTCCTCAGGAATTGCATTCATGTGGTATGCAGACATACATGCAGGCAAAATAAAAAATGACAGACTGAGTACAGAGTCTCAGGCAAATTTTGAATTGGAAAATAGGGAGCTTAAGGAAAGGGGTGAGCACTGGCCTCATCAAAAGTGAGGCTGCCACTATTGTCATAACAGAAGAAAGAAAAGAGCTTCAGAACAAGTCAGTATAAAGCAGAATTGTAGGCTTATTAAGAAAAATGTTTTAGACAGGGCATGGTGGCTTATTTCTTTAATCCCAGCACTAGGGAGGTAGAGGCAGGTGGATCTCTATGAGTTCGAGGCCAGCCTGGTCTACAGAGCCAGTATCAAGACAGCTAGGACTGTTACATAGAGAAACCCTGTCTCAGAAAAAAGAAAAAGAAAAAAAAATCAACAAGAAAAATGCTTTCATATAGGTTTAAGCTTGGGTGTCAATAGTCAAGTACTTATAAAAAAAATGTTTTGTTTTTCAAGACAGGGTTTCTCTGTGTAGCCTTGGGTGTCCTGGATCTGCCTCCCAAGTGCTGGGATTATACTTTTCTCTTAGTAAATGAAGTCATAGTACAGTTTTTGAGGAACAGTGAACAAGATTACAGCCTGACAAAGTAAGAACACAGGTCACAAGGGTGGAAGAAATCTTTATTAGGACACAAGGGAGTTAAGCCATATGCCTGCCTGACTGTGGACAAAGTTCACAATCTTGTCTGTGAACTGCCCAGGAAACTCTAGGCTTGTGGCTGGAAGAAGAGTGAAGTTAAACTCCAAGACCACTCGTGTTTAGACCTGAAGTACAGCTCATTGCTATCTTAACAGTGTGGTTTGCAATATCTCTATTGAAAAGGAATGTTGCACCAGGCGGTGGTCGAGCATGCCTCTAATCTCAGCACTCGGGAGGCACGGCAGAGGCAGGCAGATCTCTGTGAGTTCAAGGTCAGCCTGGTCTACAATTCGAGTTCCAGGACAGCCAGGACTGTGAAATCCTGTCACAAATAAATAAATAAATAAATAAATAAATAAATAAATAAATAAATAAATAAATAAATAAAATAAAAAGGAATATTGTAGGCAATCTTTACAATGAATTCACTCAGACTCTGGGGTGAGGGACCCCTTTCCCTTCCACAGCTTCTTGACTGCCCCTGCCTTTTATTCAGGCCTTTCCTGGAACTCACTGTGTAGTCCAGGCTGGCCTCAAACTCACAGAGATCCGCCTGTCTCTGCCTCCCGAGTGCTGGGATCAAAGGCATGTGCCACCACAGCCCGGCCCTCCTTTTTATTGTTTTATTTGTGTGTGTTCCCGAGCATGCCACACCAGACATCCATACCCAGGACTCACGTGGTAGAAGGAAACCGTCTCGAAACAATGAAACGTGGCATGGGCGCACTTTGCTACCACCCCAGGAAATGATGTTAAACTGCCCCTCAGCACCACCTCCGTTAACCTCATTCCAGTTTGCCTTCTCCAAACGGCCTGTGGCACAGCCTCTGAGGGCAGCAGCCTAGAGACTCAGTCAAGGAGCACTCACTGGGTTTCTTCCCCTGGAGTGTTTCTCACGGTGCCTGGGCAGGCTCTGTAACGTCTGAATGGATGAGTGAGCAGGTTGGCACCTGGCCCACAGAAAGTTTAGAGTACTTAGAGGAGGCATCAACCTTGGCTAGTCATCCTATCTCCACCTCCCAAAGGGTCAGGATTACAAACCAATGCCGACACACCCAGCTCACTTTTTGCTGTTATTTTGAGACAGGGTCTCATGTCGCTCAGGGTGGTCTTTACTGTGGTTGCTTACCACAGTAAAGCAGGGAGGCACCAACTGAGGCGCTAACCATGAGCTCAGGGGTGCCACAAATATTAATAAAACATCAGGGGGAAACACGAAAATGGAGTGTCAATATACATCTTCCTCCTGAACAGACGATTCAACGACACTTCCAAAGGGACCCTTACGCACGAGTCACAGGGACATAGGGCTTAAATTACATATCGTTGGCCATTTTATCCATCTTGTGTGTGGTGTTTCCCAAAGGTTCTTTTGCAGGTGGCCTAGTTAACTGTGTTGAGATTCCTTGTGTCCAGAGACAAAAATCAGAACCAGGAGGGTGGGGTAAGTACGGGAATTTATTCCCTCTAGAGTCTTCTCTAACTAGCTACCCTACCTCAGGGTGAGGTGTGATACAATTCAGGGTAGAATGGGCAGCTGCGCTCTCTGGATGAGAGATAAGAATTTGAGAACACCTGACTAGCTGACATTGCGCAAGAAGTGATGAGGCCATTTGTGTGACTCCGGAGCCACGGTGGGCCATCTGCTCAGAGAGAGGGGACCGATTCTGCTCCAGCCACTGCTCTCCGAATGGCCTCAGGTCGTTGGTAGGTGCACGGCATGGGTGAACTGGGTCGGGAGGTCTTTGCCCTTCCCGTAATGCTGCCTCTAGGGATCCAGGGCCAAGTAGCTTTGGCTGTTGGCAGGAGCACGGGGCAGCTCCTCAACTGTCCTTGACTTTGGGGCAGAACCCACTGTGTAGACAGGAGCCGGGTGCCACTGCCTGGAAGACAATGCTGCTGTAGTAAGGGACGCGCTGTGCTTCATTTGGCCCGCCTGAGCGCAATCTGCTGGCTCGAACTAGTCGCCGGGAGCTCCGAGCGCTGGCCCACAACCCGGCAACACCAACTGGGAGACGCACGGGGGCATTTGCCTTCCACCACCGATCTGGGACCTCAGAGGCCCAAGGAACCCCGGGGTGATGGGGCGGATGTAGGTAGGGACGGTCTTGGGGGCAGGTCCACGCAGAAGTAGGGTCTCAGTTGAGTGTTCTTGAGGAATTCCCCCACGGACCCCATGCTACCCTTCTTCAGGGTTCCAGTGCCAGCTTGAGTCACGACAGTCCAATCCAGCATAGCCCGCTGCACAAGGCGCAGCCCGCTCCAGGCTGCTGGGTGGTACGGCCCGCACCCCTGCGCCTGCCTTGGTAGTGTCCCACGGGGGCGGGGCCTGGGCTTGTCGTCTGCGGTGGGCCGCGGCGCGCGTGCGCGGTGGGCAGTGTTTGCTCGGCTCGCGACAGTGTCGTAGGTGATTCTCGGGGGTAAGGGCGGGACGGACCGAAAGCCGGGCGCCAGCTGAGGCGGGGACACAGGTGGGCGTGGGGTCCTGGTCTCCGGTGCCACCCACCGGCGGGTATCCTGTCTGGTTCATGTCACTGGGAGTGTCCACGGCGCGGGAGCTCCTGGGACGCCGAGTCTGAGCAGCTGATGGGCCAAGAGGCGGTGCCCCCCTTCTGCTCACCTGAACTCAGGTGAGGCGTGGAGGGCGCCCTGGGTGCACCTTCCTGCAGTGGGGCTGCCGTCGCCTGGCCACCCGAGGAGGAGGCATTTCTTTGCCTTTGGCATCCAGGTTATGGGGCCAGCGGGGGCGTGAGTGGACGGGCCAGACTGGGTGCGATTGCACAGGACGACGCCGGGAGAACATGGTACGAGGAGCAGCGAAGGGCCGGATCAGTCTGGGGCGAAGCGGGACAGGACGCCGGGCTAGGTCAGCACAGTGCTAGGCGCTGGAGAGCTTGAGCATGGATCATCATGGGACCAGAGGGGGAAAGGCGGCGTTGGCCTGATGGGCAGGAGGTGGCCCTGGGTGGTGTCAGCATATAGTGAGGGGGAAGAGGAATAGAACACCTAGCTGGAGTCAACACACTACGGGAGATAGCAGGTCCTGGGGCTTAGGGTGCTGCTTCAGATAAGGACAGGGTGGAGCTCTGCTTGGTCGTGGGTGCCTGAGGCCTTTTAGAAGGCTTTAAGAAGCTGTCGGAGTGGCTGGGAGCAGGTGGCAGTTGCTAAGTACTGTCTGAATGTGTCACTATTCATTTTCTTCCCTTGTTTGAATATATGAAATCTGTAGCTATACACTGGATTTGTTTCCATAGTTGTTTGTTTTGTTTTGTATTTTTTTACTTAAGCTTTTCAGGAAGAATGTGAGCATTTGGAAAAGGCCATGATTAAGGAAACATCGTATATTGTGAAAATATGAGACGCCTCCACACCCACCGGGTCTTCTGTTAGCGCTAGTAGACCTGCCCTAGCCGTCAGGCTCTGGTTGTTATGGAAACAACACTTAGACCTGGGCCTCCCTTCCAGGCCCCATGAAAGTTCTCCCGGGACAGGTTCCCTGAGATACTCGGTACAGAATATCTTAGGATAATGAGAAACTGGAGGACACTGGATGGGTAAATGAACACACATCCTGGTCTCGTGTCCCCTAGGCCACCGAGAACCTCATGGAAGAGGATCAGTGAGGGGGATTTACTGATGTGCTGCTCAAGGCAAAGCAACAGTAAACAGCTTACATGCGTTTATCTCCCCCCACCCTTTTTTTAAAAAAAAAAAAAAATAGGAAATGTTTTTTATCTAGGGAAGGACTGACTCAGCATGTGCCAGAAACTCACTGGTATTGCTTAGAGCTTGCTCGGGGGATAATACGGTTTCATTTCTCCATTTTCAGGCTTATGTTTTGTCAGTTTTGTTTAAGCACATATATTTGTTTTGATGTTGGGAAAATATTTCCACCCCCCACCTGTGTGTGATTCCGGAAGTGTTAGGGGAATTCTCCAGCCGATACGATGGTCCATGGGCATGTTCTGTTGATCACATCAAGGGAGAGTGACAGCCGGTGTGGAAAAGAAAACAAAGGGAGGGTCTCTGCAGTGGGGAACCCAAAGAAGTGCTGAGTGAGCTAAGATGTGTGAGTTAGACACAGGACTGGTGAGTGTTCTGGGGTGCAGTGAAACCACAGCCTTTAGGGCCATGGCCGCCACCTCCCCTCTTTTCCCCCCATGGGAAGAGAAATCAAGGAAGCTTACGGAGGCCACATCTGACTGGAGATTGTCAAGCGACTAGACTTGCTCTGTTAGTGGGAAACAGTGCATCTGATGGCTGGATGCCCAAAAGAAATAAAAAGGAAGACATGACTGCCCCGAGGGGATGGTGGAGGAGAAGGTTTATTGTAGATACAGGGAGAGCAGAGGCATCTGGGAGAGTCCAGAGTGAACATGATCCTGAGCCAGGCCATGTGAGGGGAGTGGGGGGCGGGAGAGCCAGGACACCAGGAGACCAGAAAGGTGAAAAGGGCTGTGTGATCAAAATGGCTGAGTTATATAGGGAAGGGCAGCCCAGCCCCTGGGCTGGAGAAGTTTAGGCTGGGGGTAAGGATGCCAGCCAGGAGAACCCCCGTCATAACAGGTAGGGGCTGCTGGGAGAAGCTAGCAGCCAGCATCAGCTTTGATGTGTTAATAGGCACCTGTGTCCCCGGGTTTGAGACCTAGCCGTGGTATAATTTCTGGGTGGTGTTCTGAAAGAAAACACACAGCCATTTCATTATTCCCTCTGACGGCAGTTCCAAGTTTGGGGTCCATTATCCTAACTAAACACAAAAAATTCTGCTACACCTGGCCGTCTGGGGGAACTCACAGATGCCAACAGAAAGCAGAAGGGTTCCCCTGGGTGCCGAATCTCAGCTCCCGGTGATGTGGCCCTCTGGTCACAGCACTAAACGGACACTCTTGTTCGTTTATGTACGTTTGAGTTTTTGTGTTTGTTTGTTTTTTCGAGACAGGGTTTCTCTGTGTAGCTTTGCGCCTTTCCTGGAACTCACTTGGTAGCCCAGGCTGGCCTCGAACTCACAGAGATCCGCCTGGCTCTGCCTCCCGAGTGCTGGGATTAAAGGCGTGGGCCACCACCGCCCAGCGAGTTTTTGTTTTTAAAAGGCGAGGTTCAGTGCAAGAGCTCGGGCTGTACTAGAATGAGATGAGCTCTGGAGAGACGCCCTCCACTCCCAGGGATCGATGATGAGTTGCAATGGGCTCCGGGCTGAGGCTGGGGGCAGCCCTTGCAAGTTCCTTCGGTCCTGCCTTTGGTCTCCGTGGAGACCGAGGGCTGCTGACTGTTACCTGGAGGGACGAATGACAGTAAGCAGTATGGAGGGGTCCTCAAGTCGGGCTTGGTGTGAGGCAGGCACACAGAAGGGGAATGAATGGTTGGGACTGACTGACCTCGGTGTCCCTTTTTTGCCTTTCTAATGTGAGAGGGATGTGGTTAGTTTGAGGAGCAGAAATAGATGTGAAAAGAGAACTGAGCTGGTCCCATACACATCTGAGCTGCCTACAAGGCGCAGCTGTGACTCTGCAGAGGGACCCCGCAGGGCTCTGCAGGACTCCAGGGACGGATGGCCAGCTGGACCCCCAACACCACACAGGGAAGCCTGGCCTGTTATTCTCATGGCTGAGGACGCTGAAGTTTACCTTGCTGCTGCCTCCCCAGATGAAGGATGCTGATTGGTGATGTTGGTTGCCAAGACAACACAGGCCGCCCAGGTGCTTTATGGAGAGCCGAGCTCCGAACCAGCCTGGGGAAGTGGGGATAGGGGTTGAAGCGTGGTGTGTGCGTTCTGGGGTACAATTAATTCATCGTGTCTGTAACTATTTGGCACCTGTTCTGGAATGGTCAGGAACTCTGTCAGTGACCGATGTGGGGTGCTTCCTTAGACACCCTCGCTCTAAAAGGTGCCTTGAAGATTTGGAACCATTCTCTCTCTGGTGGAGAAGCAGCAGACTCGTTGGATGTGCCTGACATGGCGGGTGCTTCCCACTCCGCTGTCCTGTATCTCCGTGTGTTTTGTTTCCGGGGGTCAGCCCCCATGCTCACTGAAGCTGGGAGAACCCACTCAGCCCGGTTGTCTTTGAGCCACTGATCTTGATGCTCTGGGGTTCCTCCCGCTCCGTCGAAACCAGAGCCTTTGTGAGACAGTTCTCATGTCCCTTGATTTAGGAAGTGGACCTAATAGAGATTTCCAGAGTCGAGGTCCAGGCCCCACAGTAGCTGGCATCTTGGCCACTGATACAGTGATGTAATCGCAGTAAAATGGGAACTTGTGCCCTGTCCCATGACTTGTAGACAAGTGCAGAATGGGGCCCTTTTTTTCTCCAGTTCCAGGAAGGAAGATCTGCTTTCGTTTGTAGTACTATACTAGGCTTTAATGTGCCTGGGTTAGAAGGTGTAAAGTACTCAGCTGTGTGTGTGTGTGTGTTGGTGGGATCATGAGTTCAAAGCCAGCTTCTTTCTAAGAAAAAAGAAAAAAGGGAAGAAATGCAGAGCCACACCGAGGCCAAGTGCCCCAGCCCTGTGGGACCATGTTAAATTTTGTTTGCGTGAGAGTAACTTTTTTTTCCCCCAGAGCTGAGGAACGAACCCAGGGCCTTGCGCTTGCTAGGCGAGCGCTCTACCACTGAGCTAAATCCCCAACCCCCAGAGTAACATTGGAGTCGTGGGAAATGTGAAATAAGCTGGTGGTGTTCCAAGCGGAGGCATGAGCCACCGGTGTGGGCTGTGCACAGAACAGCCTCTAGGTTGTCATCTCCAGAGAACATGTCCGTGTGTCCGAAAACCACCATCAGGGGACAGTGACATGGGGCTCCCGGATTGTGGGGGATACGTGGGTATGAGAGCTGTGCCCACACAGCTGTGTCCCTGTGTTAAATCTGGGGGAAAACCAGCACATCTAGGATGTTGGCCTTAGTTATGGGACCACAGCCAATAGGAGTATGAGGGCTACAGGGTCCTTTGTCCTTTGTGGAGGGGCCTAGCACTCAAGGTCTGGGGCTTTCTGCGGCTACAGAGCGAGTGAATTAGTGTAGGAGCTAATACAGTGCTCCGGGTCTCCACGATGATGAGTGCACAGCCCTGCTGTGACGTTCTGCCTCCATCCCCCAAAGTGTGTGTCCGTGTCCGGAAGCACCCCGCTCTGAGGAAGTAGGGTCAGGGTTCATCCCCCTTCCTGTGGGACTGGCCTTCTGTGACTGCTAAGCTGGTTCTAGAAGCGAAAGGCCCGTCAGGTCTCATGATTTCTTCCGATCTTTTTTTGTTTGTTTTTCGAGACGGGGTTTCTCTGTGTAGCTTAGGTGCCTTTCCTGGATCTCGCTCTGTAGACCAGGCTGGCCTCAAACTCAGAGATTCGCCTGGCTCTGCCTCCTGAGTGCTGGGGTTATAGGTGTGCGCCACCACTGCCTGGCTAGATTTCCTCCAGTCTTAACGTTCTGACTTTCACAGTTTCACAAAGTAGATCCAATTTAGGTACCTTTTGCCATCTAAGCACAATTTGGAATCTGCATGCATTCAGCAAGTATTTCATGTGTGCCAGCCATTGTACCATACGGTGGGGTTATAAAGATGAGCAGGTTGAGCTTCTGCCTCAGAGGGCTGGTGGTATGCAGGCTGGGGCCGAGCACTAGAGTGCAGGGGGGCACGTGGGTTTGTCCAAAGGATATTTGGCCCGGTGTGTGGTGCTTCTGCACAGACCAGAGAGCTACTGAAGCTGGATTTAAGCTGGCTGGTCAGGCCCAGAGGCATCCGCAGGGTGGTTACAACTCAGGACTTGAGAGCTAGAGCATGGAGCAAGATGCAGGAGAATGTGAGGCTGGGGCCCGGGAAAGGAAGTGGGTTATACTCAAACCCGGGCAGTAGTAGTCTAGACTTATTCTGGAAGCCCTGCTCAGTCCTTTAACAGGGGAGCCAAAGTCAGGAAAAGCAGCACAGGACAGGTCCTTGATATGAACTATAAAACAAATTAACAGCCATCTCAGGAAGTGAACTCTTAGGGTGTTCCAGATGAGGGACTTTTAACCTATACCACATACCAGACCTTGCTTCCATCCCATACATAGCATCCGCTGTTCTCCAGTGCCCATGGTCTTCCTCTCCTCTTAGGGAAACTGAGTCCCAGAAATGTCCAAAGGCCACATGTCCAGTATAGGCAGGAGTAGGATTTGAACCCCGGTATTCCTGACCCCGTCCGTGTCCATGTACTTGGCAGAGATCCTGGTATTTTTATTAACAGCTTTTCCAAACCCGGAACACGAAGGAAACATTCTTATTTCAGATTCTAGAGGTAAAGGGCCTCAGCAGAATGTAGCGTCACTGTTCGGCCTCTGGATTATGTAGTTTATTTCCAGACGGCAGCAAAGGCTGGAGCCCTGCGGGAAGGAGCATAGCCCGAGTCTGTTAGAACGTGTCTGCCTCCCTTCACAGCAGAGCATCTCGGGGATCATCTTCTTTCCTTTTCCTGTGCTGTCTGGAGGTCTCTTGCAGGGTTCATGTATGTTTGTAAGCCTAAGAGTGAGGTAGAGGGGTTGGGGATTTAGCTCAGTGGTAGACTGCTTGCCTAGCAAGCGCAAGGCCCTGGGTTCGGTCCTCAGCTCCAGAAAAAAAAAAAAAAAAGTGAGCTAGAAAGCTTAAGACATACTCCCCACACATTGTCCTGGGGTGAAGGTGGGCGTGAGTAGACTGTGTGTGGGAGGGAGGCAGTGATGTGTCTTCCTTTCCCCCTTCTTCTGAGTCAGCCTGAGGTGAATTTTCTTTCTTCAGATTGAGGATGGATGGCCGAAGATCCTTGAGACAGCTTCACTGAAAGGGAGGAGCGCTGTCCGGCCCAGCTGCCCGGTGTTGGCCCCCCGGGGGGACACCCCTGGCGTCCAGATTAGGATCATGACTCCTGGGAGCAGCCACGGCATGGCGGAGAGCATCTTTGACCTGGACTATGCTTCCTGGAAGATCCGCATGACCCTAGCGGTAGCCGGCTTTGTCTTCTACCTGGCCGTCTTTGTGGTCTGCCACCAGCTGTCGTCCTCCCTGAATGCCACCTACCGCTCCCTGCTGGCCAAAGAGAAGGTCTTCTGGAACCTGGCGGCCACCCGCGCCGTCTTCGGGGTGCAGAGCACCGCCGCCGGCCTGTGGGCTCTGCTGGGGGACCCTGTGCTCCACGCCGACAAGGCCCTGGGGCAGCGGAACTGGTGCTGGTTTCACGTCACCACGGCCACTGGGTTCTTCCTCTTCGAGAACGCGGCCGTCCACCTGTCCAACCTGTTCTTCCGGACGTTCGACGCGTTCCTGGCTGTCCACCACCTCTTCGCCTTCCTTGGGTTCCTGGGTTCGTCGGTCAATCTCAGGGCCGGCCACTACCTGGCCATGACCACGTTGCTCTTGGAGATGAGCACACCTTTCACCTGCGTTTCCTGGATGCTCCTGAAGGTGGGTGCTCCCTGAGGGGGACGTGGGGAGTGCCGTGGCCGCCTGCGGAGTGTCACCGAGGAGCGTCCCCGGCACCTGCCATGAGGCAGCCGTGCCGTGGAGACCTCACCTGGCTGAACTCCAGCTTCTCAAGTTAAAGGATAGCTCAGTGGCTCCCAGGACCCAGTCATTAGTGTCACATGTCCTAGGAAGAATGGTTTTACTTCAATACTTAAAATGTTCCAAAGAGAGCTATTTGTGATCGTACAAACACTCACGAGGCCACCCTTTAAATCGGTGACTCTTAGCCTTCAGGTGTCACAGCATTTGCACGCATTTTTTTTTTTTTTTTTTGTTTTTTGAGACAGGGTTTCTCTGTGTAGCTTTGCGACTTTCCTGGAGCTCACTTGGTAGCCCAGGCTGGCCTCGAACTCACAGAGATCCGCCTGCGTCTGCCTCCCGAGTGCTGGGATTAAAGGCGTGCGTCACCACCGCCCGGCTTTGCACGCATTTTTATGGCAGTGTGAGAGCAACCCTCTGCTTTTGTTAGTTTGCTGGATTCAGAAGGTCGTTCCTGGTCCACCTGGAGGTGACATAACACAGCCTCGTAGCGAGCCTTGAGTCGGACGCCAGTGGTCCTGCCTCTAGAACAGTAGCTCACACCTTAGCCTCCTGCTCTCCCAGCTGGCCCTGCGTCTAGCAGCCCCATCCCCAGCCACCGAGTTCCCAAATTCTGTGCATACAGGGTTGTGTCTCCTCCTGGGAGGAGGGAACAGCTGCCACATCTACATCTGGGGTTGGCAGTCTGAGGAGACCCGAAGGCTGCTGCCAGGGAGCTCCTGGGCTATGTGGAGTGACCAGGCTTGGCCTCATGTTCATGGCAAGGCATCGAGTGCTGCTTCAGCCTCGGCTCCAACTGCAGAAACTCACCTCTGTGCTCATAGCACGGTGTTACTGCACGTCCATTTTAGCCTTCATCCAAGGCCCTCCGAGATGAAAGAGCTAAGGGAACCGGGACATACATTCTCTCCAAACTGCTAGATAAATGGGGCCCGCTTGCTTTGTGATAGGTGCTAATTCAAGATAGAAAGGTTTGAGTTTTGCCTTGGGGAACAGGAAGTAAACGGAACAGGCAGGCCCCGCTGATGGGGCGCTGGCCCAGGCTCACATCTTCCTTCAGAATTAAGCCCGGGAGAGCAGGCGCTGGCAAGAAGCCTGTTGCTTTGATCCGAGTTCATGGGGCGTAAAGGGCACACAACCTTGTCGCCTTCCATACTGACACCGTGTTCGCTTTGTCCACAGGCTGGCTGGTCAGACTCCCTGTTCTGGAAGGTCAACCAGTGGTTAATGATCCACATGTTTCACTGCCGCATGATCCTCACCTACCACATGTGGTGGGTGTGCTTCCAGCACTGGGGCGCCCTGGTCGGCAGCCTGTACCTGCCTCACTTTGCGCTCTTCCTCTGCGGGCTGGCCCTGCTCACACTCATCCTCAACCCCTACTGGACGCACAAAAAGACCCAGCAGCTTCTTAACCCCGTGGACTGGAACTTCGCCCAGCCCGAAACCAAGGGCAGCAGGCAGGAAAGGACCAATGGCCAGGTGCCTCAGAAAAAGAGGCTCTAGCGCTCCTGGGGACCCCGTGACTCCACAGAGGGTGACTCTTCCCGAGGAGCTCGTGAACGAGGTGAATACACTCGTTACGTAGGTGAATACTAACTTGCCCTTTAGTGTTAGTTCTGAAGTAGCCATGAAGTATTGCTGGGACGTTGATCTGCCTTGCAGGAGGTCTCGGCCGTCACGGTCGTCTTCCGATTCCTCTGGTGTGGGCTCAGCCATGCTGTGTCTGCCAGGGCCAGGGTCAGGGGAAGAGCCATGGTGGCCAGGTGTGCAAACCTGCTAAAGGAGGCCAGCCTGAATACTTGAAAGCACCGCGTTAGGAAGGACCCCGGGTGGGTGTGGACGAGTCAGCACGCTCACAGTCTGCGTGCCTTATTTGGAAGTCACGTTCTTTCTCATTACAAAGAACTGGCCTAAGAAAATGTGATTTTTGCTGATTTTCGTGACACTTTCCCAGCCCGTGGAATTTTCAGCCCGTGACACAGCGGCGCCCTCTAGTGGCAAGTGGCGGAAGGACGCAGTTCTGGTAAAAAGGTTTTTCTCAATAGCTGAGTGGTCCTAGAGTTTATCCACCCCTCCTGGCATGGTGTCTGGATCTTCGAGCTTATTTCTAATTGACCGAACTGGCTAGCCTAGCCCCCAATTCTGCTCTGTCAATTTCAAGGCAGGGCAGTGACTTTCCCCCCCTGTGGGCTGTGAGGGGGTCCCTGTACCCAGAGATGCTCGGCCCGAGTTGCCACAACACAGAACAAACAGGCAGCTTGCTTGATGTGACCATCGGCAAGTGTCCCTTACCCACACTGTGGGTGGGACATCCAAACACCGGCTGCCAGTGTTATCGGCAGACGCGGAAACTTTCCCCAAAAGTATACAATTAAAGTACAAAAACCACCTTTGAAATGGTAATTGCCCTTGAAAATCATGTGTGACTTATGCTTGCCATGGATCGTGGGCCTCACAGCATGTTTTGAATACTAGTGCTTTTAACTTTATCAGGATGTATGATGCCTATTTATTTCATTCTGCGAAGGTCTTTATTTTATGTCCCTAAGAGTATCAGCTAAAAACCCTGGAGCTCCTATACCCGTTTTGTGCAGGCACGGGCCTGGCAGTTTTTAACTGGGCAGAAGCATAATAAAGTTATAGCTGTTTACAGAAACAAACACGTACCAGTTCCTGTCTGCTACCGTGAGCTCAGACTCACCGTTGGAGTGTCTGAGAACACTCTGTGTCCAGAACATGTCTTCAGATGACCAGAATACAGTTGAAAAGTTGAGCCGACTTTCTCTGGCCGACACTAGGAGCGTGACCTCACACTGCTTCCTCTGTCTCGATGTGTGTCAGCTGGGCGCCATGCCATAGCTCAAGTGGCCCCTGGTTGCTCCGCACACATCCCCTGGGACTTGGGAGGCGAGAGTGTCCGATGAGAAGGCTCTGGGGGTGATGTGACCATGAGCCCCTGCTTTTATTTCCTGGAGAGCGGCCACCCTTTCTAGGTATAGCACCTTTGTGGTTTCCACGATTTTGCCGGACAGGTCTCTGAGAGGGGCATGGTGAGGAGGACACTGATGTGAGCCTAGGCTTGGCCTGCTCTGTGGCTCACATGGGCCAAGGTTCAGCGGCATGTGCACCCCGCCCCACGAGACCCGCGCATCATCTGTTTGGAATTAGAACAGGGCGTGGTGTTGCTGGATGGTAGAGCGTGCTTATGTAGCCTGTCGGAGGCCCTGCCTGCTTTCTGTCTTCAGCTACTGCAAAGGGGACACATTCTGTACACCCGAGTTGTTTTCAAATGTAGAGAACGATGAGTCGGGGACGGGGTATCGAGTGGCAGGAAACAGCCCAGCGTCTTCCGCAGCGCTCACTGATGCCTTGGCCCCGCCCCTTTAATTTAGTACCAGCTCTTCGTGCCACGTGCCACAGGCTCCCCCAAGTGGTGCTGGACTGGGTGCGGCACAGCCAGTACCCGGCCCTTTGGTGACGTAGGTTGGATGCCCTGGCCCTCCTTACACAGAGAGCTCCCCAGGAGGCCCTGTTGCTCCCGCGGTCCAGAGAGGTTGGTGACCGCCCACAGTGACGCTGCTAGCCAGAGGCCGTATCTCTCTACCTGAGCTTTTTTTTTTTTTGGTTTTTAGAGACAGGGTTTCTCTGTGTAGCTTTGCGCCTTTCCTGGATCTTGCTCTGTAGCCCAGGCTGGCCTCGAACTCACAGAGATCCGCCTGCCTCTGCCTCTCGAGTGCTGGGATTAAAGGCGTGCGTCACCACCGCCGCTCGGCTCTACCTGAGCTCTTAAGCGCCTGCCTGTTCACACAGCCCAGGTGACCCTCCTGATGGGAGTCCTGAATTGCCTGTCCTGTGTGCAGTAGTGACCACACCCGAGCCTGTCCCAGAGGAAGAGCAGAGACTAACCATACCTAGTTTCCCAGGCGTAGAGGTCGAAGGTCAGGTGCTGGTGGCTTCGGTCAGGAAGAGGCTTGGTCCTTCCTCCGTGGAACATTGCTTTGCCCCCAGGTGGAAGGGATACTGTATCTCCAAAGAGCAGAAGGGCTAAAAAAGACAAAATAATCCTAACTTAGGTTCCTGGAGGTCTTTCTAAGGCTCTGATCAGGGCCGGACACATGGTGACTTATGGGCCTCCTCTGGCTAGAGCTGTTGCTGCTTCTGGAAGCTGGTGGCTGGGAGGAGGCCCCTTTTAGCCTCCCACTGTGGGTGTCACGTGTCAGTATAACTTTGGGGGGTACATTCAAATGCTGGTGCCAAGAGTGTGGGCACCCGGCACCCCCAGTGTCAGGGTTTCATGAGCCCCACCTAGGGCTGGTGTCTCAAGTTCCCTTACCTGTTCCCGGTATGGCTGCCCACCCAGCCACTGGCAAGTGAGTGGATGAGCCAACACGTGGCAGGTATTGTGCTAGTGCCTGTGTGTGGCAGAAGACGTACCAGCCCAGAAGGGAGACCGGATGTTTGCTGAGGACATTAGCCAACCAGGTAAGGCAGGATAGGAGGCCAGGAAGCCAGCTGCACCCCCCATACACACACCGCAAGGAGGGCCCTGGGAAGAGACCTGGGCAGGCAGGTGGCCCATATGGGAACTACGTGCTAGCCTCTCCTTTTATGATGGGGGAGCGCAAACCAATGTGTCTGTCACACGACCTGATACATAGTCAACTTTTTTTTTGTTGTTTTTTGTTTTTCGAGACAGGGTTTCCCTGTGTAGCTTTGCACCTTTCCTGGAACTCACTTGGTAGCCCAGGCTGGCCTCAAACTCACAGAGATCCGCCTGGCTCTGCCTCCCGAGTGCTGGGATTAAAGGCGTGCACCACCACCGCCCGGCTAGGAAATATTTCTTTTGTTAAACATGTCAGGTGATTTACAAACTAAAACGCTCTGGGTTGATGATACGGTGTGACTGTTAGCTGGGGATAGTCTAAAACTGCTTATGTGGCAGGAAGCTGCCCCCTTGAGTGGGTGCTAAGGCTGCTGACTCTGTCTTCAGGCTGCCTGAGAACCGGGCTGTCTGCTTCTAGCCTCAAGCCATGCCTGAGCTTTGCCCTCCTTCAGCAGTGGCTGCCTGTGGTCCCCAGGCCATCTAAAGGCCTAGATCAGAAGAGCTGCCGGAGGGAGCCAGGGCCCGCTATGATCTCTGCTCAGCAGCCCCCATAAGGCGTGTTCTTAACTCACCTAGCAGTAAATCCACACAAGACAATTGTCATGAATACTGGGTACTTTTAGGTCAACTCTGTGTCTAAATTTTTTTCTTTCTTTTTTTTTTTTTTTGCTCTAATAACACAGGATATTAATTCAGTGTTCCTCCTTGTGAACCCCACACCCCTCCCCACATTCAGTAACTGGCATATGCTATGTACATGTTTATTTCTGATACAAGTTTTACTTGCATAGGACTAGGGATGTAGTTCAATACCATAGAACCTGGGCTCCAGCCGCAGAACCACAAATAAAAAATAGTGGGCTTTAAAAAAAAAAAGACAGCCCAAAATGTATTTGCCTAGCTCTCTCTCTCTCTCTCTCTCTGTTGATAGATAGATAGATAGAGGATAGATATTAAAGAAAGAAACCTTTATTGTCTTCTCTGGTAACTCCAAGTGGATGGGATTGCCTCTGTCGTGACATCTCTCACAGTGTAGCCTGAGCCCTTGGAGCGCTTGCCTCTGGAGCCCTGGGTTCTGGATGTCTCACAGACACTGGGCGCTCTAGCTTCTGATTTGGAACCTCCCGTGAGAACTCACCTTTGGCCCTGTGGGCCTCCTCTGTTTGCCATCATGCTGATTTATATTTGGTGATTTCATTGTTATGCTCCAGTCTGGTGGAAGCTTTGCGTTTCCTGTTAGTTCACCGTGCTAAAACAAACAGCCCCAAACTCATCAAAATATTTCAAAAATGAACCGGAGTGCTAAAATCCTTAGCTATTGCTAAAAGTTATAGATGCAAAGTCTTCCCATCTAACCACCCCCTGCCAAGATTGATGTGCTGAGCTGCACACTTTGCTGAAGCTCATGGGGGGCCTGCCCCTTTCTGAGCTTTTTTGTTTGTTTGGGTTTTTTTGTTTGTTCGTTTTTTTGTTTTGAGACAGGGTTTCTCTGTGTAGCTTTGCACCTTTCCTGGAACTAACTTGGTAGCCCAGGCTGGCCTTGAACTCACAGAGATCCACCTGGCTCTGCCCCCCCAGTGCTGGGATTAAAGGCATGCACCACCACTGCCAGCTTCCTTTCTGAGCTTTTACAGGGGAGGAATGGATTAGGGGTAGGGAGGTGGAGGAGAGGAGGGGGGAAGAAAAAAAAAGAATCCCCACCAAATGTTTAAAAGAAAACTGCTTGCAGTCCCTGTAACATTCATAACATTGACGGTGTTGGTTTTCAAAACAGCTGTGTGAGCCACAGAATCCCAGCAGCACAGAGCATCTCAGCCAGCCGCAGTTTTCCTCTCGAGGAACTTCGCAGGTCCACCCAGAAACATTGTTTCCACACAAAACCATCAGAGGAGAGACAACCCCAGCTCGCTACTGAGCCAGGGATGGGCCGGCAGGCTCCTCCCACGTGTGTTTTCATTAGGTAGTGACTGGCTCAAAAGCACAGCGCCACGAAGCTGTTTACCAAACTTGGTGGCTTTCATTTTTTAATCCAGGGGCTCTTGCTTGGTGTAGTCACACTGAACATGTTGACCCTCTATGGTGGTTCCTTGCCTCCCTGGCTGCCCCTGTGTTCGTTCACCGGTCATGGAACTGACCAGCAAGCATGGAGGCGCTCCTGGATGGTGTGCTTTTCTTCCCACAGGAAGGGGAGCCAGGAAAGCAGAGAGCCTCCCCATTTCCTGGTCCTTTCTGTCTGCAGGGCCATCTGCTCTTGTCACTGCAAGGACCTGCCCGAGGGACAGGCAGTGACAAAGGATGCAAGATTGGACACCTACCCTACTAAGAGCAACACAGGGCTCCCCTTCACCTCCCCCATCCCACCCCCTCCCCACCCCCGCCCCCAGGATGTGAATGTGCTTGCTGATGAGCTGCACCAGCCCCTTACAGTATGAACAATTGCTCTCAGAGGAAACTTCCAGAATGGGATTGCTGACCTTTCGGAATTCCCTTTGTCATTTCAGGAGCTAGGCTGAGTTAAGCAAGTTACTCGGTTTCGTTTTCTTTGATTTCTGACACTTTTGTTTATTAGAAAAGCTGGGGAAATAAAAACAGAAGTCAAAATGCCTTTCATTTACTTTTTCCCCCATTCAGATTTGCCAGTTTCTAGCACTCTGTCCCACGTTAAAGCGGTCCTTCCCGCCTGTCTGTCTCCAGTCTCTCTCTGCCTCCCCCCTCTGTTCCCCAGTTTCCTTTCTCCTTGTCATTAACTTGTGAAAATCCCTTTGTTCCCCACCACCCCTTTTTTCTTTGGAAGTAGGTTTCTCTGTATTACCCAGGCTGGCTTCAAATTGGGCTTAGGGGATCCTCCTGCCTCAGCCCTCCTGCCTGCTGAGACGACTGGGGTTCATCACTTCTGGCTTTGAACTTGATACTCAGTGCTTATTTCATCAGGACAGACACATTTCCACCTGTAGCTACACTAACTCCGCTGGAGTCCAGGCTCTTTGTCTAATTCCGTCCTGGCATTTCCTTCCTGCGTGTCCCGTCCCCACCCCACCCCCCACCTCTCCCGCTCCA